AAAAAAGAGAGTATATGTATACCACGCCCCGCTCTCGGTGTTTAGTTGACCACAGCTCGCCCCTCGGACAAAGAAATAATCAAACTATTTTCTACATCCGGGTTTTAGCTGCTCGGTCAGGGCAATTGTAAGACCGGCTTTCGGGTCGAAAAGGTATGCGAGAGGTCGCGCCCCGAGCCCCTCTCGTACATCTATTGTCTGACATTGCTGTCTAAACAGCTCGCATGCATGTATGATCCAATCAACGATGCGACAACTATATGACTGGTCTCCGGACCAAAGGAATGCGAAAGGTCGTGCTCTAAGCCCCTTTCGTACATCCGTTGTCTGACGTTGCTAGGCTTAACAGCCCGCATACGCGCTTGATAGGATCAACGGTGCGGGTCCGTTCTAGTCTGATCATGCAGGGCCTTGCCCTTACGTTTGGCCGACTTCAGTTAGACTCTCAGAAAGGGAACAACCAAAATATTTCCTAAGTATGAAACTAGTTGTACAAGTCAACGTGGTGTAAGACCGACCTCAGGGTCGAAGGTATGCGAGAGGTCGTGCCCCGAGCCCCTCTCGTACATCCGTTGTCCAATCGCTGGTCGAACAGCTTGCACAACTTGTCGGTCCTAGACCGACAGTGTGCGGGTCAGCCCCACCTTACCCAGTAGGGCGCGGTCAAGGTCGACCCTATCGACCTTCCGCCCCTCGCGGCCTAGGTGGGGAGCCAGATCCCCGATAAGTTATCCAAGTATTCTTGAATAAAAAACGACTAAGAAAATTGAAAGAAGGAACGATGCATACAAACAAGCTCAAGTGATAAATCAATCACGGAGAACAAGTTCGACATCAACATTTCCCATCTTCTCCGCCCATCACGGCTAGTCTGCGTATCATGTCGGCCAAAACTAAAAGAGAACAAGACATTTTTTTTTGCCAATTACAACCCTCTTTGGTCTGAAGCTAATCATGAACTTGCTCTGCACAGACAGCATACGTCTGGGAAGAAACGGGCTTCTTGAATTTATGGGATGCTTGGTGCCCCACATCCTTAGTCCGGGATGCAAGAAGCTCGTAGAACTCCTGAGAAGCTTTAAGCACCGCAATTGCTTGTTTCGCTGCATCCACAAACGACGCCTCTACTTGGTTATACTCGACTTCAGCTGGTCACACTTTGATCGGAGATCGATCATGGCTCTCTTATCCTCTTCATTGCATGCGACAAGTATCCTCAAGGCTGACTCCGCTCCATCTGCATGCTGCCGAGCCTGGGTAGCCTGAAGATGGGCTTAATCAGCTTGACGCTGGAGCTCCGTATGCTGATCTTTCATAGCACGGAGCAATGCGGCCGGATCCGTCAGTCCCTGTAGGGAAAAAGATCGGATGACATGGAAGATGGTTTAGCATCTCTCTTTGCAGCGAAGGCAAGAAATTCGCATCTCCAACCTGGCACATCTGCAAAGAAACGAACAAGGTGGTACTTTGTGAAGCAGGGAAGCTGCATGCTTCTCCCCGGCATCAGGAAGGGAAGCTGCGTGATTCTCCCAACCGGCTATACCTGCAAGGAAACAAGCGAAGTAAGCTGGAGCTGTACGGGTAGGATTGCCTTCCCTAACCCGACCTGAGAAGCAGTTCATACCCTTTCTCTTCCTAGCAAGTCTATCTTCACGAGGCGGGGAAGCTGCACCATTTCTTACAACACTGGACGGAGAAGCCCTGCGTTTCTCTCTAACATTGACCGAGCCTGCATCTCATATTGAAGGCCGAGGTTAGCATCCTGCGCAACTAAGCGTGGACATACTCCAGATGCCGATCCTCGACCTAAGAAGTGACAAGCTCTGAAAACGTTTAGGGAGGCCTTGAACATGATAATTACCTCATCTACTACATCACCGATGTTGGAACGTGCTCCGAAGGTTGGGCCTCGAGCCAACAGCTTGCAAAACTCTAAAATCATCGGGAAGGATCTAACATCACTCTCTTACCTTGCATCGCTTTCTTGACATGCATTAGGGAGCCATCCAAGCACAGCTCTCTTGATCCGACCTTGGCGGGATGACGATAATGACCACTGCTTCGGATTCATGATTGGCCAATGAGTCGTCGTCTACGTCAGCACCGGCCCAACACCATCATTCCTTTCTCAAGACCGGTCAGATCCTCCTTCACTTGGATGATGACTGCTGCTTTGATTTCATAGTCGGCCTACGAATTTCCATCCTCGTTAGGATCGTCTCAGTGCCACCATTCTCATTTCAAGACCGGTCGCATTCCCCTTCACTTGGATGATGACCGCTGCTATGGATTCATCACGACCAGACTAAACGTCATCATTTTGATTCTATAATCAGGCCAGCCCGCCATCCACAGGGATGACAACTATTTCTTCATCGCAAGCCTGGGAAGGTGAGTGCTTCTCCCCAGCATTAGGTGAAGAAGTTATTAACATCTACCCGACATTAGGCAGGGAAGGTGCATGCTTCTACCCGGCATCAGTCGGAGAAGCTGGGCATCTCTCCGGACATTAGATAGAGAAACTCTTAGCATCCCCCGACATCAGGCAGGGAAGGTGTGTGCCTCTCCCCAGCATCAGGCAGGGAATGAGCGTGCATCTCCCTGGTATCAGACATTGAAGCTCTAAGCATCTCCCTGACATTATGCAGGGAAGTTGCGCGCTTCTCCCCGACATCATGTGGAGAAGTTGTGTGCTTCTCTCCGACATTAGATGGACTTGCATCAGATGTCAAAGGTCGAGACTTAGCATCTTTCGTCGCATCCAAGGCAGCAAATGCGCTTCTCCGACCATCCATGCCTACGAGGAAACGAAGGTCAGGGCAGGGCAGCAAGTGTACTTCTCCGACCTACCATACCTATGAGGAAATGAAGGTCAGGGCAACAAATGTGCTTCTCCGTCCAACCAGCCATACCTCGAGGAAACAAACAGCGTAAGCGGGGATTCTGCCGGTTGGGTTATCTCCCCTTACCCGGCCTAAGGAGCAGTTTATACATTTGCTCTTCTTGGAAAGTCGCTCTTCGCAAAGCAGGGAAGCTTCTATCTTTTCCCCAGCACCAGGTGGAGAAGCTCCGGGCTTCTTCCTTACCTGAGATAGACCTTCATCTGACTTTGAAGGCCAAAATTTAGTATCTTGCACTGCAGTTAAAGCAGCGAGAGCACCTCTTTTACCTGCCATTTCTCTAACATGTAATAATAGCAATCAACAGGGACTACTTATCATGGCGGACTACTCACTGCATCTATCTCGAGAACATCAGGCGAGCACTGCTCACAAGTGAAGACCGGTCTTTGTTATCCCCTCGACGGATGGCGACAGTTGCAGCTGCACACAATTGCCTAAGAGCTTACCCTTTAGCTCTATTTTGGGTGCATTTAAAGAAGAGATCTCTCCACCAGAGCAAGACCCTGGGTTGCAGCTAATCAGACAAACAAGACCCCAGGATGCTGATCAGAAGAACGAGACCATGGGAGGCTAATCGGATAAACAAGACCTAAAACTGCTACCTAGGCGAAAGAAACCATATCCTCTCACAAGCAGCGGGGATCAATGTGCATAGTTATAAAACTACCCTCTCCCGAGCATACCTCAGCTCGGCATCATCAACAGGCAGCTTTGCGACCAGCCTCTCATGGGCATACCTTAGCTCGGCATCATCGACAAACAGTTATGCGGGTGGTCTCTCCCGAGCATGCATTGGCTCGACCGCCACCACTGGAAGGCAGACGAGCGACTGGCCTTCCCAGAACATATCTCGGCTTACCAGTAAAGCAGACGCTCAATCAAGAACCGACGAGACTGACCTTCCTCTGTTTTATTTTGAGGTACCGGTGTACTCTTTTTCCTTCACTAGGATTTTTTCCCACCGGGTTTTTTCCTAGTAAGGTTTTAACGAGGCATCCCCTCATCATGAACAAAGGAAGAGGTCTTCCCGGTTGGAGCAAAGAAGACCTGTCAGCTGGCCAGATAACCAGGACCCCAGGATGCTACCTAGACAAGAAGGGTCTCATCCTTGCGCAACACTGTGGGATCACAACAGACGATTACATGACTAACCTTTCCAGGCACACCGCAGATCGTCATCATCAACAATCATCTGTGTAACTAGCTAGCTAGCTTGGCAACCAGGCCGATTTCAAAGCAGCTCAACTACTCCCTTTTAGACGAGTCTACTACTCGACTAAGGGAGTGGGGGACTCGTGTTGGGATAATATTCTAGGCCCAGTGCCATCGGCCCGTTATCCCCGAGCTTTGGCCCAACTAGGCCCAAAACGCAGTCTCACGAGTGGGAATCGCCCCTTGCTCATTTACTTATTTATCGGGCCGGTTCGCCCATTAGCTTGGACATGTATTATGTATTTGGGCCAAGCCCACGTAGGTTAGACTTTGGACTTGTGATGGATGCCTATAAATAGGCCATCACCCCCTTGTATTCTCTACGTTGTTTTTACTATACTAAAATGCTGCTAGTTTCTCTACTCGGGATATTTTCTACCAACAATATGTAATACGTGTTATTAAAATCTAAAAAAGTATACGAAGAATAGCTAAAATATTTTTCTTGAATAATCTCAATCAATTCATTTAGACAAGCAATTTCAACTTAGAACACATGAAATAAAAAATATTATACTTCTATAGTTGTATTTTCAACAAAGATGATACCTCTTTCCCAATTTAGCTAGTCATCTTTGATTTTTTTAATCAAAGATGATAAATTTTGATCAATTATTTTAACTAATATATTTATGCAAAATTTAAAAATATTATACTATTATAATTATATTTTTAATAAAAAATATTTTCACATATTATCACTATGAGGTTTGACTAATTGAAATAGAAAACAGGGGATATCAAATGAGAGGTAGAAGTCATTAGTCAAATCTCCTATGCGTGTGAAACCATTGACCGAACATTCAAAGCCTCGCCAACGCGCTTAGTACACGGATACATGCCATTCCTCAATTACAAAACCCCAACATTAGTAATCATTAACTCATCTTAATTATATTCTAATCACTCGATCGCATTCATTGCCACCAGCACAGTTAAGCAAAGCACCTGCGGCGGCGCTCGATATGATGACCACCGCAACTCCTCCACAATCTCCCGGCTTCGAAAAGGAGGAGCAAGAGCAAGTCCGGCCACTGGCCCCGGCCACCTCCGCACACAGCCACCGCATGGAAGACGCAGAAATCGGAGGGCCGGCGGCGAAGGATCGGCGGTTACGGAAGTGTGTCATGTGTGGCGGCTGTTGCTGCGCGACAACCTTAATTATAATTCTCGTGGTCATAATATTAGCTTTGACTGTTTTCCGGGTCAAAGATCCCACGATCAGGATGGACTCCGTGAGAATTGACGGCCTAAGTTCTCTTACGACTACCCAGAACATCCTTAACCCTAACGTCAACTTGACGCTCTTTACCGGAATCTCCGTCAAGAACCCGAACAGGGCGTCGTTCAGATTCGACGAAGCGACGACGAGCTTGGTTTACGACGGGAGAGTGGTGGGGGAAGCTAAGAGTCCGCCGGGGAACGCTAGGGCGAGGCGGACGTTGACCATGAACGTGACGGTCAACGTTATGGTCCAAAATTTGGTCAGCGCGTCACGTTTGCCGCGGGATTTGCTGGCGGGAAAGATGCCGGTTGCTTTGTCTACTACAATTCATGGGAAAGCAAAGGTTGTGATCATAAAGAAGAGCGTCACTGTGAGAATGAACTGTACGATGTCGTTTGACTTGTCGAGCCAAAATATTGAGAATCTTGATTGTAGCAAAAAGGTGTCACTTTAGAGCGGATCCGAAACATAAAAAAATGTTACAAAAGCTATAGAGTTACTCAAAGTTATAATGTACACCAATAATATATAGATAACGTAGTATTAAGTCATATAAGTTCCCTGGATCCTATAATCTCTCACGAGCCTAGCTACATATATCTTGTGAGCTAGAGATAGCGGGAGGGCTTCCTTGAGTGAGCTGTGACCTTATAAACTGGCTATGACATGAAATTTTGTCAATTGCATGCTTTCAATTTTACAATGAATTCTTAGATTTACTATTATTGCTATGTTATCGCAATTGGTATTTAAGGAATTGTCCTAAATGGGACTAAAACATGGTTAAAACTTCAAAATAGGACTTTAAGTTTTAAATTGCTTAAATAGGATTCCAGATTACATTTTTACCCCTAATCCTAAAATCACCTTTCCCCAATCCCTCTGCCATCGATCCTACACCTGTGATTCAGTCCTCCCATTTCGACGCAGCTGCCGTGTAGCAGCTTGACCTATTTTGATCGTAACTCAACCGCCATCATCGCAGCCGCCTGCTCAACGCCGACCACCACCTCTTCTCTCCAACAAAATCAGGTATTCTTCCTCTTCTTCTCCTTCTTCCTCTTCGTCTTCTTTTCTTCTTTTTCTTTTTCTTCTTCTTCCCCTCCCCCCTCTGTTTTCTTCTCCTCGCAGTTCTCCTTGCACTCCTCTGTTTTTGATTAAAACTTCTCCTACTTGTTTTGAATTTCAGATTATTTTAGACATTCTATTTCAAAAATGCCATCATTTAAAAATAATGACTATTTTATGGCATTGCATTTGTTATGATGACAATTTTGACCTGTTTGTCACTTTACTCGAAAATGACATGTTAACATCAAAGGCAAAAACATGACATTTTTAGATGCGAAAACATGTCAGTTTTGAGATTACAACATTACATTTTTAGATGTAAAAACATGTCATTTTTGAGATTACAACATGACATTTTTAGATGCAAAAATGTCATCATTTGTCAAAAATGTCAAAATAATGGAAATTTCAAACATATAATACTATCATATCTAAAAAATTGCCAATATGTCTCCAAAAATTGCCAATCATGTGGCATTTTTAAAAAAGTTGATAGATGAACATAACAAAAAAATTAGACCGAAATAATTTCGAATAATTGATAGAGCCGTGAATTTCAAATCCAAAATTTTTAAATAAAAAATATGACTGAGGAAGAAAGGAGCAGAGATCAGAAGAGAAGGAAAAGGAGAAGAGGAAGAAGGGGAAGGAGGAAAAGAAGAAGAATAAGAAGAAATACTTACCTGGAGATATGTCGACCTGAGCAGTGGAGAGGGAAGCAAAGATGACTTGCGGACATGGGAGGCTGTTATGCGTCGCCGGTGTAAATCGTTACTTAGCGTGGCATATTTTTTAATTGGGGGTAGTTTTGTTAGATCAGTTCTTTTTAGTCCCATTTTTTACCAATAAAACATAGTAGTCCTATTTTTGCAATTTCACTTTGATTTAGTCCTATTTCGACAATTCTCTCTTGGTATTTTCGTAGTATGATAGATGAATGTTTAGCATACGGAGTATTAAAAGGCAGAGTTGCCTCGCCACACTTCTCGCGTAGGGTTTTTGTGTGGTGATATTGCCGTCTTCTCTTGTTGCGATTAATGTTAATGGCTTTCAGCGGGATAGGAGGACCTGCATTTGTTAGGGTTCGTTGTGAGGTTTCGTTCCTAGTTCTACCATGCTTTCCGATTCAATAAGGAAAACAAAGACATTTTATTCTTTTGATTTTGAAAATGATATGGGAAACAATTTTTTCCGTTTTCTTTTTCCACTTTTCTGGAAAATAGGAAAATATTCATGTTACTAAAAGGTCATTAAGACTCTTAAATGATAATTTAATCATAAGATATTAAAATAATACATTTATAACATCAATTAATTCATTATAGAATATATTGATCAAAATTATTTATCAAAATATACTCGAATAATTTATTTAATTATTGTTTAAATAACCGTTTCATTTTATAACGACAACTTTTAAGCAAGATAATTGCAATTGAATTTTCGACATCGATTGTCGTACGTGTTTGGACATGAATGCTAACCAACACCCTGGCGAAAATGGTCTCCCCCGAGGAGGTACACTTAGTGCCACAAGGAGTAGTGTCTTAACCTGAAGAGAACGTACTTTTTACAATAAAATACTCCCTCCCGTGCTGTTAGAAGATTTCCGTCCACTATTCTAATGGTCAACTTAAATCATTTTTAATCTTTTACTTTATAAATCAAAATTTTGCCAAATTTACATTTTTTTTTCAGATTTTGTAGCGGTTTTAATGTAGTTTCTGAATATGTTAATTTTATTTACTAAAAATAAACAGATTGTGAATAGGGATTAAGTTGCTTTATCGACAGTCAAGCATCGTAAACCGTTCACGGGAACCTTCTAGTGGACTGAGGGAGTATGACATTATATCCACACACGAATTAGTAGCGTCTCCTATACTATACTCCGTAGAAGATAGCCCTCAATGGAGATCGAAAATCATACCAACATACAAAATTAATTTTCTAGAGTTATACTTGCTTCGTTCCCTTTTAATTGCAACACTCAACATTTCACGTCTGTCAACGCACAAGTTTGACCATTAATATCTTTCATTCTCTATATTAGTAAAAAATTAAAAAATTCATATTATTAAAATTTAGAATGAGAAGAATTTAACAATATTTTTTAATTTTTTTATTTATATTACATTAATTAATAAAATATAGTCAAATTAGAATATGTGAATAGTGTAAAAAGTCTAATGTTGCAATTAAAAAAGAAGGGATAGTAATATTACATTATTACGTACGTATATACTTTTGTTGTTTAGCACTAATGCATCCACAAATATATTGTTAGGGTGGTTGGATTTTAAGAACTTTATTACATGGTCAGATGGTCGTGGTCGAAACTTAAAACATCAATATTTTTTAGACTAAATATGGATACATAAATTGGATTTTTTGGAGGTTGTGCCCCTATTGTTTCGTCCTTCCACCTCTTGTAAGTTCATAATCTGCTTTACTAATTACTACATGAACTTCCCAGCTGCATTATGTTGCCCCTAAAAAACTGCATCTGGCTGTATAACTTAAGGCGTACGTGGGGGTTTGACGTGTTGAAATCTATTTCAGTTCTCCCAAATGTACGTGGTATATTGTGTGAAATCATTATTATTTTATGCCAATACTAATGATCAGTCCCATAATTTGAGACTTGAAGATGCAAATAAACACATTCGCGTACATTAAAGATTTTTTCATTAGAGTGTACTATATTCGGTGGAAAATTTGACTCCCGGGAAAAAACTAAAGCCTGTTTGGTAACGTTGAAGTTGGCTGAATCCGCCAAAATGCCAGAATGGATGAAATGTTGGATAAAAACGTTGGCATGGATTATGAAAAAAATATAACTCACAAAATTATAAAGTTATTAGTGATGAACACATTTATTAGTGATGCACTGATGCCCAAGGTAATTTTGAAATTTACTTTATTAGATTGGGCCTTCCTAATTTATATCTCTTGTAAATATGGGCTAAGGGCTCTATTTAATATCTTGCTATCGTGTGTATATATAGGGGCCTAGGCTAATTGGAAGGGGGACTGAATTTTGACCAATTAATAAAATATTTACTTCCTAATTTGAGATGGTATCAGAGCCTCCGTAGGTCTGCGTCGCATCTGTGATCTCCGCGGAAAGCACCAGCGTGCCAGAAGCAGAGTTTCAACATGAGCGATCCAACCTCCGTTTATTATTTGGGTTCCGGCGATCAACCAGGTAACCAAATTACTCATGTCATCTTTAAAGGGGACAATTATGTGGCGTGGTCTCGGGCTATTGCATTAGCTCTCAAAGCTCGCCGGAAATATGTGTTTGTCAACGGAACAGAGACGAAGCCGACCGCCGCAGCACAACTATCCAACTGGGAAACGGTGAACTCTATGGTTGTTTCGTGGTTGCTACGATGTATGGACCCGGCGTTAGCAGCTTCGATCCCGTTCCATGACGAAGCACGAACGCTGTGGTTGTATCTTGAAAACCGGTTCAGCGTTGCCAACGGCCTGAGGCTGCAACAGCTTCGTTCCTTTATCACAAACTGCCGGCAGACAAAGGGAATGACAGTGAACGGAAAGTCTTTAATGTGATTATTTATTAGGCTTTAGTTATCAAACAAGACTGATAATTAATAGAACCAAAAGTTACAAGCAAACTTTTCACTAGAAATTTTTCCATTTTGTTTTAATTTTTGTTGAATAGTTGCCGGATTTCCCCTGATAGTAAGAGTGGCATACTTCACGAGTTCACGACATCAATGATGGTGACACCGGTGGTGGCAATGGTGACGCTATAACATTGACACTCACAAGCAGCAACATGCATGCTAAATATGCAGGGACATTATAAAATTTCAATGTATTTATTGTCTTTTTAGTCATATTTTTTATCCATGTATAAAAGTAATCACTTTTAGAAAATCAATCTCACTATAATATTCCTTCCGTCTCGAAATTATTTGTCAAATTGATTTTTCATAATAAATGGCAATTAACTATGACCAATGATATTTTTTAATATTAAATTATTTTAAATGTGAAAATTATATCAAAATGTTCCATATTCAAAGTATTCTCATAAAAATATAAAATTTATTAATTATATACATATATACTCCCTCCGTTCCTAAAAAATTTTCCCAGTTTAACTTGGCACGCTTATTAAGAAAGTGGAATAAAGTGGAAATATATGGTTGTGGTTGTGTAAGAAAAAGATAAAATGAATGTGAGCCACACAAATTGTCCAAAATGGGAAAGTGGGAAGTATTTTTGGGAACAACCCAAAAAGGAAAGTGGGAAGTATTTTTGGGAACGGAGGGAGTAATAATTAAATTTGCTCCCCAAAAATTTATCATTAATCAAGAAGATCAGACTCAATATGACAAACATTTTTATGTCGGAGTAGTAACATTTAAAGAAAAAACAAAAACCCATGGTCAAATTGGAGTGGAAGTAGTGTGGAACAATTGAACAAAATGCCCAAAATGAACGAGCTGGGCGCACCCGAAAGTTGGTCTGACTAGTTTGTACTTAGTAGTGTTTAGTGACTAGATAACGAAAAAGCCAAAAAGGGGCCATTAATGGATTTTGGCCCTAGCCCAAATTCCCAATCAGGTCACTTTCTTATAATGACAAAAATGATTAGTGGCAATTGGCAAATGAACACCAGATCCGACCAAGTCGACCCGGAACCCGGCAACCCAAACCAAAACCCGGTTCGATTAATTAAAGACCTGGAAAACCCTGGTCCAAACCCGGAAAAACCCGATTTTGGTTGTTTTTCTATTTAAAAAAAATTAAAGCATTTTTAAACAATAAATTTGCAAATTTCAATACTCCAAAAAGAAAAAAATGAAATATATTTATACACTACTTATTTATTTAAGAATAAAAATCATGTCAAATTATATAATATATGTCCAATAAAAAATATGGAGTATCATTATATATTTTAATAAGATCAAAATGGTATTTTAAAATATTATGAGAATATTTTAACTTTTAAGTGTTTAGTAAATATTATTATCATTTGATTATCATGAAATAACTACCTTTTATTTTAATTTTGTATATAATTATACTTCCTCCGGTTCTTATTAAAGTTCTCACTTTCCTTTTTGGGATGTCCCTTATTTAAGTTCACACTTCCATTTTAGGAAACAAAACAGTGCCAAACAGTGTCAAACAGTGTCCAAACAGTGCCAAACAGTGCACTCCACAGTAAAGTCAAATTCATTTTCTTAATATGTGTGAAGTCAAACTAAGAACTTAAATAAGAACCGGAGGAAGTATGTTTATTATTGTTAAAAGGTATATCGGTTTTATAGCGTTGACTACGTCGACCCGTGACGCGGTCACGCGGCCGGGTCACTTCCCGGATCGGTTTCTTAAACATAGCATACAAATAGAAATGGAACCCCATAGAAATGCCTGTGCAGTTTATCGCCACGTTTTTTATCACAAGAAAACAATTTGTGTGGAACAAAGCTGAACATCAACTCCCTCTCACGGCCTTACCACCAACTAAAGAACATCTACGATAGACAAAGACCAAACATGATGCATCGTCGGATACTACGATGAAATTTAAGTTTCCCACAACACAAATAAAAACAAAACGCAAACCAAGAACCGAAAAGACGATTTTTTGTGATTGTTCCGTAACAACTTTCCCCATTTGTTGACCACTAGGCCGATTCTTTTAACACTTTTGACAAGTTGAAAAGCACCATCCTAACAGGAAACGTTCTAATTACACACAAATATTGTGAGGCGTGGATATGGAGATATGGTCCAGCTCTTAAACCGCGGCCGGCAGATTTTCGGACCGAAACCTGCAGGCTCGCAAATTATAGTTTCGGGAAAAGACCGAGATCGGAGCTATAAAGATGTTTCCTTTTGTATAGTTTTACATTCGGCAGATTTCCTTTTGCTAGATGGTATTCAAATAAGCTCAATCGACTGAATCTGCTAAAATCATTCAAATTCTAGATGAAGCAATTGAGTTGGCTAAATTTAGTACACTATAAAAATTATATTTAAAATATATTTTATTGATGAAATAAAGAAAAAGTATGAAAAAATAAATACAATGGTCATGCACTCCGGAGTATTTTATGATTCAGAGTAATTTTGACTATTACGCAAATTAAAACGTAAAATAAAAAATTACCTAAACTAATATGAAGCTAAGGACTTTAAATCCATGTATTGCAATTGATCCTAATTTGAATCATTGAACATTGACAGATATTTGTACATAGCATTTTACCCGTCAGTCAAATTTACTGCGCAAAGACAATTTGACTCGTGCAGGAATATGTCATGTACAAATGTGTGTACAAATAGCAAACATTAGAGCATCTTCAATGCTAAAACGTTAACCGTGCATATGTGACATGAGAAATAACCAATCAAAAAACAATATATAGAATATCTCTCTCCTTATTTAAAAGATATTACATCATTTTGATAAGTTTTTCTTCACGATGTCAATCACAATGTCTAGATGTAGACATTGTGGTTCACATTACAGAGAAAAACTTACCAAAAACACATAAGACCGTGGAAAGAAAGAGAGAGAAATGTTATAAAATCGATATTTTGTGTCTATCTCTCTCATGACACATGTGCATCGTGCACATTATAGCGATGCTCTTAGTCTTTTATTGGAGGAAATCATGAACGAACACCAGACTGGTCAAACCCTAGTAATTACCCTCTATGTATGAAGACTTCGATGCTGAAGATTAACTGAACCAGAGTTACCGTATGGAGAATGGAAGTGAAAGCACATGAGCACATCACAGTTGCATGAAATTATCCACAACTGTAAAAAAGGACGGCTTTCTTTACATGGGTAAAAGGCTAAAACCATCACACATAATTGACTACTCATTCCTCACCAGTCTCTCATCCCATTACAAATCAGGCTTCAGAATCTCGGGGATCAACGGATGATATCGCTAGAAAACTACCATTGACTTAGTCAAAGGTTCGATTCTTCTGGCTAGGAAAAGAAGCGATAATATATTTTCCTAATTAGTAATGTTAATCTTAGACCATAATTACTATTACTACGGACTACGCAATTTATTTGTTAATTAATAAACTACTCTGAAACCTCAGAAGTCGATAATTAACCCGATTGGGATACGGGTTCAATTTCATCACCCGGGAAGTTCACGGGGTTTCCTTGAGATGCTTCGCTCGTTGACCGAGATAAGACGCGCAAATTTGAGTCTGATTAAAAAAATTAGATTCAATTATTTTTAAGCATTAGATTGAAAATTAGGCATGAACTGGAATTTCAGTAAAATAAATTAACTGAGTTGAGTTACCTCGGGTTGAGTTGAAAGACCTTTTGCAGTGTAAAATGGCGCCTTGAATTCCATCTTCTTGTTGTAAAAGAGAGTCGTCACGCCTCCGCGATGACACTTGACCGGACGAGACTGCCGCTGGCGGCGCTGACCGACTTTTGACTAAATGTTTCCGGACAACTCGCAGCCCCGCCGGTAGGCTCCCCTGTTTCACACTCTTAGCGTAACTCAATACCGACGTGTTCTCAGATATTTCTACCGCCGGTGCAGTTTCGCCTTTCTGTGTCTGTTCCATCGTCGATTGCGGCGGTGGAGCAGATGAAACCGAAGCTGCCTTGATTCCTCCTCCTCCTCTGGACAAACTCAGCTGTCCTGAAAACCTCAACTTCTCGCCATAACGCCTCGAGACACGGACGTACAATGGCTTTACCATTTTCAAGTATTTTTCCATCATCAACTCTTTGGAAAATTTCTTCTCGTCTGGACATGAGCTAGGGCTCGAACTCGGGTCGACATTTGAATGCGAATTTCCTTCTGCTGCTATGCCGCCATTGTTGCCGTTTTTCGAAGTGGTATCCCTAATAAATAGGGATTTAATGATATTCAGTTCTTCAACCTTGAATCTGACCGTCAAAGAGCTCTTCTCCGTCCGAATTTGGCTCTCGTTTTTTTCATTCTCAGCTTTAATTTGTTTCTGACTCAGCCTTGGTTTCGCTGGATTAGATCCTTCCGACTGTGATTTCTCGGCTTTCTGCTCGGCATTTGTGGCCTTCGCCTTCTTCAATTTCAACATTAGGACTCTGAATTTGGTTGCCGTTTTCACCAGAGACGCCTGGAATTTCGAATTGGTTTCTGAATCATTCACCGGAAAAAGGTCACCGCCTTTACAGAAAAGGTCATCTGAGGGAGAAAGGTATCCGTACGGATCCGTACGGTCAACACTCGAGCCGGAGGACGTAGAGAAAGTCAAATTTAGCTCGCCTTCTTCATTCTCATTGTACGACGACTCATCGGACTCGCTCCCGTCGACTTCTTCGGCTGCATGTTGTTCATTATTATGCTTAACCTGGTCGGAATTTTCGCCGTCGTCATTTTCACGACCATTGATTCGCCCATGTTCGTCTTCCGGAGCGGAAGTGAACTCCAAGTCGATGAAGGGACCGTCTGAGTCTAAGTCAGAGTCGGAGTCGGATAAAAGAGGAGTGACGGCGGTGAGAATGGTAGTGGTGCCGGTGGTAGGAGCAGTGGAGCAGCCGTCGCGGGTGAGGATTCTGCTAATTCCACCGACAGTACCGCCATTGCGCCAGAACTTGAGTAAGCTGAAAGCGTCCATGGATGGAAGAGCCAGTATAATACAGAGTACAGGATGGAAGAGATTTTAAAGGTGAGAGATGGAGAGGGATGGAGAGGTTCTGACTTGTGTAATGAACACTCCTCCGTCCGTAAAGGTGGCAGAACTTGAATAGAACTGTAGGGTAAACCGTGCAACCTGGTAGTATATCTTTTTACTCTAGACGGTAAAACAAGAATGTTCTAATTTTTAATTGGATTGATTCATTTAATTTGATTTGGTTTGGTTTAATTTAATCTCTAAGTGTGATCTCGTGGGTTATGTTCCGGTCTAACCATGAACCGAAACGAGTCCAAGTAATTACATCCTTAGGGAGTATTTACAAAGGTTTTAGGAACTCTTATGTGGAAAAAGATAAAATGAGTGTTTTTTAACACTAACTTATACTCCGTACTTATTTTAAGTAATTTTAAGTGACAAACTAAAACCAGGGAGATTGATGTTATTAAATACTGCCTTCAGTACCATATAAATCGTTCGGCACGTGGCTACAAATGTTATACGGTAAAGAATTAAAAATTATTCCGCCATCCGCATTAGAAATGTCTGCCTTAGCAAGTGTATGGGCTGCCCAATTCACGGATGTCTACAATGTTTGACAATAAAGCTAGCTTCAGATTGAAGTAGATGTCTTATATCTTCGATAATGATATCCAAATAAGAATTCCCACAGCCTTCCAAGAGTCGGGAGGTAACAAAGAGTAAATCTGTTTCCATTTCAACATGAGACCAACCTTGCTCTTTAGCCTAGGATATCACCTCGCATACCCCAACTGCTTATGTAATAGTTGATGACCAGACAACTGCTCGAGTCTCACTGCCTTCGCTGATGAAGTCCCATTCATTATCACGTGCAAGCTAGTCCCATGCTCTCTTCCTCCGGTTTACATCCACTGCACCGTCCACGTTGATTTTTATCACTATCGCTGGCGGACGTATCCACCCTGTCTTAACGTCGCTGGTCATTGTAATCACTAAACCTGCTTTATAAATCTGGTAAGAATTACACCGTTTTCCTTTCCAAACTTTCTCATTTTGTGCTTCCCATATACCCCACAGTAGGGTGATGAACAAGCACAAATCCTCTTATTTTGCAGCTTCAAAAACATTTTTCACCCACTCCAGCAAGCTATCAGCTTCACGTTGAACAACAACATTCAATTTCCTCCCCCACTAGGCTTAGAAGTCCCAGGTAACGGGAGCCTGTGTCACCTGGCGAAACACCCGACATGTTGACTAGTTCTTCTCGCAACTCTCCTCTCACGTTTGGGCTGAATGTCATTGAGGATTTCACGAACTTAATCTGCTGGCCAGAATATGATTCATATAGACATACAATCCTTCTAATTTCATCACATTCTTCTCTTTGGGCTTTATAATAGAGGAAGCTATCATGGGCACACAACAAATGCGAAAATTTTTGCGCTCCTCTAGCAATAGCTAAACCATGGATTGTGTCTAGCCTTTCTTGCTAACTAATTAACAAACTGAGCTCTTCCGTAACTAGTATAAACAAATATGAAGATAATGGATCTCCCTATAGTAAACCCCATTGCGGGATAATAGGGCCAAGAGTACCACTATCAAATGGTATTAAATATTCAAAAGATTTCACACATTCTCGAATCAATTGAATCCATTTAAGCACAAAATTCATTACTTGCACCACTGTAAACAAAAAATCACATTCTACTCTATCATATGCCTTACTCAAATCACAATCTTTTTTAGGAATAAGAATTAGGTTAGTCACGTTTACCTCTCTAGGTACTCGACCTTCCTCAAAAACTAATTGACAATACTTGAAAATATCATGTCCTACAATATCTCAATATTGCTGGAAAAAACCAAGACTCAAACCATATGGATCGAGCGCCTTATTAAGAATGCATGCTAAAAACAGCCTTATTGACTTCCAAGAAAGTTATTGGACGCTGAAGATTATTGTTCACTGCATTAGGTACTATTGCAAACCCTGTAGTTACATTCCAGACCAGCAATACTCGGCCTGATCTCGGATGGACGGAGTAATTCATAAAAATAGTTAGACACCATAGTTCCAACTTGACGCCAATCAGTGACCCCAATTATCATCTTCTTCTTTAGCTCAAACATCTTGTTCCTTTGATGTCGTTGCTTCACTACATTATGAAAGAATTTGGTATTAATATCCCCATCTTATAGCCAAAATTCTTTTGCCCTTTGACTCCAAAAAATTTTGTTGGGCCGCGGGGGTATACGGTGCCAGCAATCTGCCAGCCTGCCGGTGCAATCGAACTGCGTGGCGCTTCGCTTGTGCTATAAAGGGGGAGGAGCGTGCTACACTATACGTGATTGCTTTTAATGTAGCGGTAAGCGCAACGATCCACAAGTGGTATCAGAGCCAAGGTCACGGGTTCAACCCCCCTACAACAGCATGCTGCGCAGTTGAGGCTGGCAGGTGCTGGAGGGAGATTGTTGGGCCGCGGGTATGCGGTGCCAGCAATCTGCCAGCCTGTCGGTGCAATCGAACCGCGTGGCGCTTCGCTTGTGCTATAAAGGGGGAGGAGCGTGCTACACAATCATCGATTGCTTTTAGTGTAACAGTAAGCGCAACGATCTACAAATGTTTTGTTGATGAAGAACTGGTAGATTTTAGAGCAGATTTCACCCTCTGGAATTCACCACAATTTAGTTGATTCACATTATTGCGCAAATAGGCCAAACGTTTTTGCATACTTCTATACGTGCCTGGAAGCCTAACCTCTTGCTTTTGCTCCATTTTCCAGCTCCCTACCACAATCCTGCAATCTCTGCCAGACAAAATTTTGAGGTAGTCTCGCCCAACTTCATTCGGTAATACCGAACCGAACACCAACATATTCACATACCGAATACTGAACTGAACTAAATCAGTTTGGTTCGGTAAAAACCGGAAAAAAAAAACGGTTCGGTTATCGGTAAAACCGAATTATCAAATAGGCATTCAACAATATTTATGTAATAATTAATAAATAAATATTTAAATATATTATATATAATATATAAATACATAACGATATATATATATATATATATATATATATATATATATATATATATATATATATATTATAGGGAGCGGATCACGTGAGAAGTGCCCTTAGGCTGAGAACTGCGAAGCTAACTTATAGACTGAAAACAGGAACTTTTAACTAATAAATCATAACTTATAGACCCCTCGAAATAATTACGAACATGCCACCGCAAAAAAATAAGTTTGGAGACTGGAAATTTTTGGACGCGGTGGCATTTCTGTAATTACGATGGACAACTTTATAAGTTATGATTTATTTGTTATAAGTTCCCATATTCAGTCTATAAATTTGATGCGTTGTAGGATTAGATGCAAATCCAAGGGTTGAGATTACTTCTCACTTCTCATTTTAAAGGGGACTTCTCACCTGATATTTTCTCTCTTCTCTCTCTCTCTCTCTCTATATATATATATATATATATATATATATATATATATATGTATGTATGTATGTATATATATATATTGAAATATATTATAACTAACGATATATATACATAAATATATAAATATTTATATATTTATGGCTAACATATATATATTGTTATGTATTATATATTTATATAATATATATATATATATTTATATATTTATGGCTAAAATAAATAAATATATTTTAAATAAAAAAATAAATATATTATATATTTAATATTTATTATTTTATTAATTTCGGTATTCGGTACATACCGAAAACCAAAATATTTATATATATACCGAACCCCGAATTTTCAAAATTATATGTACCAATTATCGAACCAAAAATTCGGCTCGGTATTTGGTACGAACCGAAATTTCGGTATCGGTTTGGTTCGGTCGGTTTACCGAATTGTGCACACCCCAAAGACGCAGAAACTGCCTTGAACATATTTAGCCATCCATTATTAGTTGCAATACGTTACAATCGTGGATAGTGTTTTGATTGATTTTGAGACTATGCACTTCCTAAAACGCAAAAAACAAGGTAAACACGGATGGGTTCCCTTAAAATTAGATATGAACAAGCCTTATGACCGGGTAGAGTGGCCTTTTCTTCGATATGTTTTGATGGGTTTTGGCTTTATTGCAAAGTGGGTGAAGATCATAAAGGAGTTTGTTACTACAACGGGATATTTTGTTCCTTTTGATGATACAATGTTGGGACCGATAATTCCACAACGAGGGCTTAGAAAATGGGACCCGTTATCTCGATATCTTTTCATTCTTGTGGCGGAAGGTTTGAGTAGTATGATTCCAGTGAAGGAAGCACACGGGGAAGTGTTGGGGTGACAATAGCTTTGGGCGCGCCTAGAGTGACTCATCTTTTTTTAGCCGATGATAGTTACTTGTTTTTTAAAGCTTCTGAGAAGGATTGCCAAATGGTGAAAGAGCTTCTGAAGGAGTATGAATTAGTCTCAAGACATGTTATAAATTACAGTAAATCTAGCTTGACTTTTAGTCCAAATGTGAGCAAAGGGTAGGGATGACGATAAGCTCAATAACCGGTTGGAGGTGCAACAAGAGGGTAATATACCCAATTATCTTGGACTACCAGCTCTCATTGGGAGGAGGAAAAAATAGATTTTGGGGTATATAAGGGAGTGGATAGTAAAAAAGCTTCAAGGGTGGAATAATAGGTTCCTATCGAGAGCAGGGAGACATATTTTGCTAAAAACAGTCATTCAAGCTATGCCAACATACACAATGAAAGTGTTTTTGTTATCGAAGAAGTTGTGTACTAAAATAGAAACGATAATGAATGGATATTGATGGAGAGGTGCTAATTTTACTAAACATGGAATTAGATGGAAAGCATAGCAGGGGATTTGTTATCCATAGAATATATGGGTGGTTTGGGTTTCCGCGGGCTTAGGGAGTTTAATGTGCCTATGATGGGGAAAAGAGATTGGCGTTTCATAATGGAACAAGATTCACTTGTGAGTTGAATCTTTAAAGCAAGGTACTTCTCTAGGACTGATCTTCGCCGAGCTAGTATAGCTTAGGGTCAAATTCATCGTTTATTTGGCGTAGCATAATGGAAGTTAAACGAGTTGTATGTATGAGATTGCGCAAACGTATA